CCATGTGTTTTCCATTTCATGTCTTCTTTCATTTGGAAAATACAGTCCAAAAGATTTTGGTAGAAAACTCATGACTCTGAGGCATACCATGAAGTCTCTTTTTACCCAATTAACATGATCATTTAGACTCACATGGCACAAGCATATTGTTTTGCACATCATAGGTGCTTATTCAATGGGGATTTTATTTAATTTAGCTCAATGATAAATATCATATTTTTAATGAAACTGTTCACTGTCATTCTACATCCATCAAGAATATAGGCCCACTGAAGTTTCAACTAAAAGTTCATGTTTTTTACAAAATACTTGTGAAACAACAAGCAAATGAGATTTTTAAAATAAATAATGAAGATCATCTTAAATAACTGTAGACACAATGACACAGAAATACATAATAAGAGAACATACATGTGACATAACTTCAAGGTATCCAAAACTCATCTAATCTCACGTATGTCCTCAGAAGCTTTATACTGCATCAGAAATATCTGCCATTTTTCTAGTTTCTATTATTAAATATGTTGCATTTTCAGAGGATTCTTGTATAAATGGAAATACATTAAACAGAATGTGTAACAGCTTATCATTTTAACCTTTATAATTTCATTTGGAAGATTAGACTTTTTTGGCTTTTTTCCGTAGATTAGGAATATGAGAAACATATAACAAGATGAGTAATTTTTGATGAAAGTGTGTGTACTTTTGGTAAAGTTCTAAACACAGTACATATTCTGAAATGGCATACATAAATGAGGTGGTAGAAAGAGATCCCTTGGGCAGCCAGAGGGCAAGCTCATGAGGATACTGGGTTTCAATTAGAAGTTATTCAAAAAAAAAAATGAACAATTGCAAAAAGAAGTTTTCTGCTATGTCATTGTTATGGGTTGAGTTGTGTTCCTCCTCGAATTCTTATTTTGAAGTCCTAACCCCAGTGCATCAGAATGTGACTTCATTTGGAAGTAGGAACTTTAAGGATGTAATTAAGGTAAAATGAGGCCATAGGCATGAACCCTAATCTAATGTGACTCGTATCCTTATGAAAAGAGGGGATTAGCACACAGATATACAGAGGGAAAGCCCTGTGAAGACACAGAAGGAAAACAGCCATCTGCAAGCCAAGCAGAGAGGCTTCGGAAGAAACAACCCTGCTGACAACTTGATCTTGCACTTCTAGCCTCTGAAACTGTGAGAAAATAAATGTCTGTGGTTTAAGCTACAGAGTCTTTGTTATGGTAACCCTAGCGAACTAAAACCATCTTTTTTGTTTGTTTGTTTTAACACGTTAGTGACAAAGAAAAGCCACTCTCTTAGGCCTGCGGGCATCTTACAAAATTAATGACTTCAAGCATAATTTAAGGTGGTTCAATAGAGTCAAAGAAGTAACACAAAAGACATCATAGACTTGAAGTTAAGAAAAGGAAGGGAGTGAAGGGAATGACAAAATATGAAGAAGGACACCAAGAGACGAGATCAGAAAAGTTGTGAACATGATTACTTAAATCAGAAGAAGTGAGACAAGCAAAAAAATGTGTGAGGAAACAAATAGTGGGTACTCACACTGATAATACTGTGCTGTAATTACAAATGACATACAAAGAATATCAAATGAAATTAGATATGATGTCTCGATATTTTGAAGAATGAATAGCAGGACAAGGTAGACAAATTATACTTTCAAGAAATGTCATTATAATGAAAGTTTTTAAAAAAAACTTATTTGAAGCTTTTGCAGAAAGATCATTTGGAATCAGTGAGAAAATTGAACTATAACACATTTTTAAAGCATACAATTGTATTATGTACTTATCCCATATAGACCATCGAATGTGGCTTACAAGAGTGCAGTTCAGAAAAGAATTAATTTGAATATGCATGTGAATATAGTCTGTGGCATAATCATACTGTATGCTCAATTCTATGGTACTAAATGATTTCTTAAAACAGATTTTATTTTCTCAATTTTTCTAATACTTGTGCTATTTATGTTCCTTATAACTAAAAAAAAAAAAGAACTGACAAATTATGGCATTTTTAAATGATTTAATTGATAATTCCATAAGCATGACAATAGGACATGAAAATCAGTATGAAAGCCATGGCAAAAAATAAACAGGTAGGGATTAAATACAGTGCTCTGCATTAATTTAAAAGAAACAGTATTGAAAGATTTTAAAAATATGGTTAAAGTAACTTTTCTTATAAAATTGTTTTCCTAAGTATTCCTGAGCAAAACAAAGATACAAAAGTAGTCAGCTAATCCTAGGAGAGAAAAAATTGACATCATCTCTTTATCCCAGAGCTCATTTCTCTATCATGGCGGTGTACATCCTCTAGAAAAAAAATGACACCATCTATTTATCCCAGAGTTTGTTTCTCTATCATGGCCGTTCACATCCTCTAGTAGGTGATCTTAAGTTTTCCTACTTGGACTGAGAGTATTTTTTCCTTTTGAACTTTCAATCTTGAATAGATTCTCTTGCTGAATATTATAGAATATTAGAGTATATATCTAGATATTTTCTATATCACCAAAGGGTTAATTAGGGTGGAATGCTTTGTGGAATATGTCATTTGGGAAAGTTAAGAAGCCATTGCAAGCCAAGATAATTGGGAGGAAAAACAAAAAGAAGAACTAATGTTGAATGTTTGAAATAAACATTATTCTCATCATCTACATGTCTTATGAAGTTATTATAATGGAGCCATGAACTCAAACAGAAAAAGCGATTGAGTATTATGCTGCTGCTGAGAATAAATGGGATGCTGCAAAAAATCTAGCTATAATAATATTGTTACAAATTTGACCAAAAATCTTGGGATTCCTGAGATAGCCTATCTGTCATTTTAAGGGTATCATTGTTCAGAAGCCTATCATATACCTGGAAGTATCTTAGATGTCTCCCAAAGATGATCTTCAACCCTCAAAAACAACACCATCATATACATACTATTTTCTTTGGGGCTAACCGGTAGATACAAGAAAAACTGTCATCATTGGGAACATTGTATATCTTACATTTTCCTGGGAACCATTATTGATTTCTCACTAGACCCACTATAGAGTATGAGCGTTTCACTCCCTTTCAAAAATACTCCAGAGTTTTAAAGGCTGACTTATTTTCTATAAGTAAGAAAATATAATTTTACATTCGCCTATTTTGTTCACTATGTGACTCTGTACAGCATAAACAACTGCAGCTTGAGCCTGCAGATTTCACTGAGAGCCTAACCTCTCAGTATAAACACGGCTCAGTAAGATCTAGTACAGAAGTCATTTTTGGTGAGTAGAATCTAAGTGATCCATCATGGGAATACTGAAGTTTCTCTTAAGATGATGTTCTTCCTAATAAGAATTATGATTCTTATTGAAGCATTTTTTTAAATGGGTTATTGAAACTAAAATATGTATTCACTTTTTAAAAATCACTTTATAGCTTTAATAAGGCACCTAAATAACACACTAGATTATACCCTTAGAAACCTTCCTTGAGCATATTTATAATACGTTTTGAAATTTCTCATCCAATTATTGCCTTTACGATAACATTTCTGTCAAGGGGTATTTCTTGGATGCAAAACAGTTTTTTTTTTCAAATTTATCTTATTAAGTTGTTTGGATTAAGACACTATTAAACCCTTTACTGAAATTCCATAATGCATTGAAAAAGATAATTTCTCAAAGTGCCTCACCAAACCAGAGTGTGTCTGAAAGCTGAGAGAGTCAGGATCCATAAAATCAAATTGATAAAGACTAAACTGATATTCTTGTAAGTAAAGATTATCAAATTTACCTGCAGCACCCATGAAACAATTTTTATCTGCAATAAGCTTCACAGTTTCTTCCTAGGAAAATTTATGTTATCATGGTTGTTTTCACAGTTTACACGTATTTCCCTGAATCATCATGAATATAATCTAGAATTAATCAAATGCATGTACTAAGAATGGGGGAAATAATAATAAGATGGCTTTGTTTCCATAATTGCAGGCCACTTTGAGTAACTAAACAAAGAAACGGGACCTCCAATGACAATTAGGCCGTATGAAAGTCTCAAGATGACGAGTGACTCATTCTGCTTAAAGATACCCAAAATAAGTAGGCTGGTCAAAATGCGAAGTAATAACTACATGACAAGTTTGTCTTACTTTTGGTGTAACCATTAACACCGCTAAATATTTAAATGGAGAATATGTATATATTTAGTATATATCAAATTGATAGATGTATACCCAAAGTATTTTGATTAAGTATTAGAAGATCTGATTTATTAGAATATCATAATATAATTTAGTAGAATTTTGCCACATTTTGGCCTAATTATTTCTTTAAAAATAACCCAAGTAGAACTCTCAAAATCTCTTTGCAAGTGATCAAATAAAAGAACGTTGTTAATTTTAGCAATTTATTTTCCTACTAATGTTAATATATCATACAGAAAACTACATTAAGGAAAAAAATTCAATTTTTAGATTGAAAAAGAAAAGCACAAGTTAAATATTTCCCTTTCTATCAAAGTGCCATGAACTTGAAAGGATTTGCAAAGTGGAAACAGGTGTAGTCAACTGTTAGAGTATTTTTAAAATTGTTTGACACGTTATAATAGTGGGATCCAAAACTGAAACTTGACATTACTCTAAGCATTGGAAGATCATAAATCACTTTAGACAGCACACCATGGTCTTAGTTCTTTCACACTGAAAATGTTTTGTAACTGTGATATTATTATGCATTAGGAAAACAAAAAATAATACCAAGTTTAAATAATAAAATTAAAATTTAGCTTTTTCCCTACATGTGCTATACATTATACATAATTTCATATTGTTTGTAGAACAATGAAAGATATTTTTCTGCATTTGCATATTTAGATATTTTATTAAAGGCTAGATATTTTTGAGTGTTAATTTAAAGTAGACTTCATGCACATTCATGTTTTATAGTTGATTTAAGAGATACATAATTAAAATTGCAAAGGAATGAATACTTCAGGCAGAAAATTTTATATTAAATTTATTTTTTGTAAGTAAGAATGGACAATTGTATACAAATGCTAAGAATTTCACTTTTTGGAATGGCTTTTTTTCAAGGATTCTAATTTTTTTATGGAAATAATCTTATAACAACTTTATCTATCCCCATTACCCCATAGTGATACTGTGGATATAAGATAATCCAGGTCAGAAGTAGCAGACATAATTCTAGTTCCTTCTCCAGCTCTCTACATTCATGTTCTCACTCCAAGTACAACTTTTCGAAAACTAACAATTGTGCTAAATGCTTAAGATTGCTTCATAATACTTTATACTGATTCAAAAACAAAATGTACTGGCTTTCATTGTATGTAACAAGAATAAATTGAATCATTTATTTACATCAAAAGTAGATATTTTAACATGAGTCAAAACTATTTAATATTTAAAGAAATTTAGTTAAGCAATTTGCCTTAGGTTAACCTATAAGATACATTTGATGACATTACTCATGACATAGAGGTTGTATCAAATTCTCAAAGAAATTTAGCAATTTTTAAATTTTATTTTATTTTTGTCAATGTTCACTTGTTTGGGATTTTCCCCTCTCTGATTTTAAGAGATTTACTTCTGGATGTTTGTTCAATTCCCTCATTTTTTTTTTTAAATTCCCAGGTCCACTTCAGTCAGAGAAACGTATTATACTAAGAATAAAATTCAGTCTTATAGCGATTTTTAACATTGAACTGTCATTTCCTGGTGCTCAATGATACTAACACCACATGCTATAATTTAATGTTTTTCTATTTTCTAAAGAATCTCTTCCTGTTATTAATTTTTCAAGATCTGAACACATTTCATGGATTGAAGGCATCCAAACAGCCTGTAGCAGGAAAATATATAACACACATTCCTTTAAAAATGCATACAATAACAGCTGCAATTTATAACAACAAGTGAAAGGAAAGATGAAGGAAATATACAAATCATAAACTTCAAGAAACACATAAATCTTTATGAAGTCTTATCATAACTCAGGCAGCATGTTATCCTTTCAAAATCTGCCAGATCACCCCAGACATTATATCCAGTTTGAAAACTCAGGTGCTTTGAAGTTGTTATCTTTGAAGTCCTCTTGGCTTTGGGGTTTTGGTCACTCCTCAGATCACAGCAATGTAGGCATTAGTTCTATGTGGTCCTATTGTTTCCCTACGCCCGTTATTGTTTCTTCTTCTCTTTTGTACAAAAGCACATAATTTTGTTCTCCATGATAAATAATCTGAAAAATTTAAACACAGTTGCATAAAAAAAGTTAAACGTATACGCGATAATAAATGACTTGGTTGATTTGCAAAGAAAAAAATACCTCTTTTCTTTCAAACTACTGTCTTCTTCATTTTTTCCTTTCTTTTAAGAAACTCAGTCTGTACTGTACCGTTCAAACCCCCTCTGCCTACTTGGTTTTTGTTGCTTGCAGGTAAGATTTTGGCCAGAATATGCATACTTTCTGGTCTTCTCATGTTCATTTGTTTATTCTTTCTAATGAAAATCGGTTTGAATGTCTACTAAGTGCCAAGCACTATTCTAGGTGCTAGATACATTAGTGAACAGAATCACAGATAACCAAGAAACTTATATTCTAGTTGGGGAAAGGCATTAAAAGTGAATGATTCTATGGGGAAAAAAATGAAAATAATCAAGCATGGTAAAGAAGATCAGAAGGCCGGTGTCAGGAATGGGAGGCAGCAGGGAAGGATAGAAGGGAGAGGCAGGACTTAATATTAATTATGATGAGGGCAAGCCTCATTGAAATGGTGAGATTTAAACAGGGAGATGAGTTTAGCCAAATACATATCTGGAAGATGAACATTTCAGAATAGATGGAGCAAAAACCTTAAAACAGGAACATATCTGGTAATGTTCACACATCAAGGGAGCCAATGTGTTGAAGCCGACTGAGCTTATGAAAAATGGCAGGAAGAGCCAGGTGGGGGAGGGGCAAAAGGCAGACCACGAGAGACCACGTCGGCCATTTTATCACATATTTTAGAAGGATAGTCAAGTATCCAGGCAAGAGATTGTGGTGATTCTGAAAAGGGAAATAACAGCAGTGGATATGTTTTAAAGATAGAGTCATCATCATTTCCTGAACAGAATGGAGATAAAATGTAAGAAAAAGAAAAAAGATAATTACTGTTCCAAAGGTTTCTGCTTAAACGACTACAAGCATGGAAGTAAAGCAGATTTTCAGGAAGCAGGAAGTAAAGGAGCGGTATAAGGACAGAATATTTGAAATTTTACAATGTTTTAAACATGCTGCATTGTGGATGTCTATTAGAGAGTGAAATGGATATGTTAAGTAGACAAATATGAGTCTGTGGTTTGAGAGCACAGTCTGACCAAGGACGTTAAAAATTGGGAAGTCATCAACATTTACATAATATTTAAAGTTATGAGACTAGAGGAGATGACCATGGGTCTGTAACACACACAGACACACACACATACACACACACGTACACACACACACATATACACACACGCACACAAAATCTAAAATCTGAACTTTGGGCCATGCCAATCTTTTAATGGCTCAGGCAAAAAAAGAAGGAACCAGCAAAGGCAACTGAGAATGAGGAATCAGTAGATTAGGAAGAAAGTCATCAAGTGCAGAGTTCTGGAAATAAAATTTTAAAAGATGTATAAGGAAGGGGAGAGAACAACAGTATAAATGCTGCTGGTAGGTTCAATACTTCCAGTAAACATGGTCAGGTACTTTTAGAAGTTAGATATATGAAAGGGGTTCTATTTTGTTCTGAAAAGTGATAACCAAGCTACCAACCCGCAAAACTTGTAAAGGAAAGGGTTATCAGAAATCATAAAGTTGTTTCTAGCATTACTGTATTCTGAAACTCTGATTTTGAGAAAATATATCATTACACATATGTGACAGTATTCAAGTTGGATTTCAGCAGCCAAAACTTCAATGATACTCATGGCTACTGAATCTGAATGTACAATTTTTAACATCCTCCAAATGCTTTTTGCTGTTGAATAGAAGAGATTTTGGAGTAAAAACAATCTTTAGCTCATTCTTCATTCTCTGAAACCTTAGAGGCTGTTCCAACATATGTTCAATAGCATATTTATGGCTGTGATTGACTCCAGAAAACTGATTGTATTTAATCCTCTCATTATTACCTTTAGGAATAGTACACAAGTACATACTTTGAATTTTTTCTATTCCTGAAACTAAAGGGATCATAATAAAGCTTTGACACAATAAAGGATGTCTGCCAAATGTCAATCATTTTCCAAAGGGGTCTTTGGGGGAAGTTACTGATGAAAACACTTCCAAAATGCTTTCTAAATATTAAAAAAATGGAGCATTTAAAAAAAAGACTAAAGGCATTCTTAGACCATTTGGAAGCATGAATTTATGCTTGGCACACAACCTTCACTGATTCTCTCTCCCCATGGCCCATCCTAAACTCAAGGTGTCCAGACAAAATCTTGCCATATCCGCAAATATTACATAATTAAATTTTACAATAGCCCTTCTAGATTTTACTTTAAAAGATTTCTCAATTAATACTAATCACTTAAAAGATTCTTTTTGAAAAGCAAAAAAATGATTTCCATCAAAAAATTAGTATAACTTTTGGTAAAATAAAGATTATTTTTTAATAAAAATCATGGACATACTAGAAAAAAGTAATAGTTACATTTAAATAGGAGGCATTAATATCATTTATTAAATATATGGTACAGGAGATCGAGACCATCCTGGCTAACACGGTGAAACCCCGTCTCTACTAAAAATACAAAAAAAAAAAAATTAGCTGGGCGTGGTGGCGGGCGCCTATAGTCCCAGCTACTCGAGAGGCTGAGGCAGGAGAATGGCTTGAACCCAGAAGGTAGAGCTTGCAGTGAGCCGAGATCGTGCCACTGCACTCCAGTCTGGGTGACAGAGCAAGACTCCGTCTAAAAAAAAAAAAAAAAATATATATATATATATATATATATATATATATATATAGTACATTCAGACACCGTCCAAAGTCCTCAGTATACAAATCTCAATCAACTGTGAAATTATCCTTTGCTTTAGATACAATCATTATGCCCACTTTATAGAAAATCAGTAATCTGGCCCGAGTCACACCTAATAGTGTAAGTGAAAACTGCCCCTTGGAAAGCCACTGTGGTATTTGTAACTCCAGATCATTAGTGTCAGTCCTGAACTTGACATTTAATGTTTATATCATTTTGAAAAATAATTCACTTAGCCAATAAAGAGACTTAATTTCTTCTTCTATAAAAGTGATCTTATCTTGAATTTTAAGTGCATTATTGTTGAAAAATATAAAATATAAAATTTCTAATTATAATGGCAAAACATAAAAACCAAATACTGCTGAAGTATGTAAAGTAAAAATTTCAATTTTTTTATTGTGGCAGACATTGTATTATTTAGAACTCTCCAGAGAAATGAAACCAATAGTGTGTGTATGTATAGGTAGATTAACCTTAAGGAATTGGCTCACCTGAGATTTGGACTCACTGTCAAGTCTAAAATCTGCAGGGCAGGCCAGTGGCATGGAGACCCAGGGAAGAGTTGATGTTGCAGTCTTGAGTCCTAAGGCAGTCCAGAGGCAGAATTTCTTCCTCTTTGAAGGACTTCGGTCTTTATTCTTAAGGTCTCCAACTGATGGATGAAGCCGATCACTTATTATGCAGGGTGATCTGGATTACTCAAAGTCTACTGATTTAAATGTTAACCACATTTTAAAGATACCTTTATATCAACATCCCGACTGGCATTTGACCAAACTACTGGGCATCATAACCTAAGTTAACACATAAAATTAACCATCAGAGTCTAACCCTTGTCAACTTGGCAACCACATACATATCCTTAAACCATACTTAATTGCACTTGATTATTAAAATCCTCCTTTGCTGAGGTCATACTTTAGCGAGCATTCACATGGGACACAAATATTTTTATGTTTTTCTCCTATTCAGAGAGGTATATCCACATATCCTTTCCCCAGACCTCCCTGTCATCAATTTTCTGATTATGTTACTTTCAAGTTTTTAACCATCCATCTGAATCGTTGAATTCATGTACAATCACATACCTTGCCATTTCTCTTTCTAAGCAAAATGAATAACCAGGCACACTGCTTAAATTTCTGCTCACTGGAATTTTTTTTTTTTTTTTAAATCATCCTTCATGGATGTTCCAGAAAGGGACTTTAGTGCTGCATATGTCTCCTTTCAGGTGGTACTGAATATCATCCAGAACCATCTGAAAACCAGGCTCCAGCGTTCTCTTCCTGTGTCAGCTGATCACAGGGAACTCCCTATGAGGCCATAGGTAGAGGCTGAGAAAGAGAAGGCAGTGTAGCAGGAGTGGGGACCATGAGCATTTGGTCCGTTTCTTTAGGCAGCTTATGCCTTTGGGACCTCCTTGAGCCCAATCTCACACATTTCTTGCATTCGATGATGGAGTGCTACTGTGCACACTCAACTTTATGGCTTGGTGGGCCCATTCATGAGGGCAGCATAAATTGAATGGTAACTTGATGGCCCATGTTTAAGTAATCAGTCTCTACTAAGGCCCAGTAGCAAACCAAAAGCTGTTTCTCCAAAGGAGAGTAGTTATCCACAGAGGATAGCAGGATTTTGCTCCCAAATCTGAAGTGTTTGCACTGTAATTCACTTACAGGGGCCTGATGAATGCTTCAAACAAAATTTTTATCTGCCACTGATACTTTATGCACCAAGAACATGCTGGATAATATGGTCTAAGTGGCAGAGCAGATGGCACTGCACTGTGGACCTGTTACAGACACCTCTTCTGTTCTGGGCCCCACTCAACTCTAACAGCTTTTTGATAACTTGGTAAGTCATCTAGAGAAGCACACTCAGGTGAGGAAAACATTGCCTCCAAAATCCAAAGCAGCTCACTAGGCATTGTGCCTCTTTCCTGGTTGTAGGAGAGGCCTGTTGCCCAACTTATTCCTCATCTTAGAAAGAATATCTTTCCATGTCTCATACTACTGGATCCCTAGAAATTTCACTGAGGCAGAATTCCCCTGAATTTTTGTTGGATTTCTTTTTCATCCTCTGACATGCAAATGTCTTACCAATACGTTTCGAGTAGTTACTACTACTTACTTACTAGTTCTAATCAGTATAATGTCATCACTGTAATGGACCAGTATGATGTCTTGTGGAGATAAAAGCAATCAAGTTCTCTGAAAACCAAATTAACAGCCTAGGGCTGGGAAATGGGTATACTCTGAGGTAGGACAGTAAAGGTGTATTACTGGCCTTTCCAACTGAAAGCAAACGGCCTCTGGTGGTTTTTATTAACAGAGATGGAGAAAAAATTATTTGCCAAATCAATAGCTACATATCAGATACCAGAGGATGTGTTAATTTTCTCAAGCAATGAAACCATATCTGGTACAGTAGCTGCAACTGGAGTCACTGCTGTGTTAAGCTTGGAGCAATCCACTGTCATTCTCCAAAATCTATCTATTTTCTGTTTAGGCAAGTTGGTTGGGGATACAGTGAGAGTCACCACTCCTGAATTTTTCAAGTTTCTGATGGTGGCACTAATCTCTCTGATTTTGCTTTCGATTTACTATCTTCTTAGGAAGAGGAAGTTCTAGTGGCTTTCAGTTGGCCTTTCCCACCATAAAAGATGTCACCTTATATGTCAAGGAAGCGACGTGTGGATTTTGCCAGTTGTTGATTATATCTATGTCAATTATGCATTGTGGAACTAGGGAAATAGCCGCAGGATGGTTTTGGAGACTCACTGAACCCCACTCTGAAATGGACATGAGGCAAAACATCACCTTCATAAACTCCTACTCTGACTGATAAATCACCATGGCATTTGATGTCTCCTGGAAATTGTATCCATTCAGAGTCAGTGTCCAGTAATCTCTGAAAATCCTGATTGTTCTCTTTTCCCTGATACACAGTCACCCCGTATGATAAAAGGCTTACATCCCTGTTGGGGAAGGCTGGAAGAATTATTGGCAGTGTAGCTGGGTGCTTCCTCAAAGTTATCCCACCTCCCTTCACTTCAAGGATTCGGGCTTTATAAACTGACTCAGTTCTGAGAATTGATTGAGGAGCCATGACTGTCTGTTTTTATGATTCAAGTTAAACTTTTGTTCACTTTCCTATAGTGCTTATACAGACCAAGTACGAATTTAGTAGACTTCCAATTTATTTCACTTCTAGGAAAGTGATCAACTAGCCAATATCATAGATCTCTGTGAATCAGACTACTTTAGGTACCGCTTTGACTCTAGTGCCCATTATAATAACCACATCTACCTTTATTTTAATGACTAAGTATCACCACTTGGCCTCTGACACAGTGAGATCTAATAATTTTTATTGAATTTTAGTTTCCCAATATAATGTCACCAGTTCACACTATAATTTCTGGCCTGCAAAGAAGAGTGATCACGGAGCTCTTCAGTGAGGCTGAAGTTCCCCCTCACAAATTTATTTCTCATGTTTGTGTCAATATGTATGTCTGGACTCTTCCTATGGTGGGTGAGGAGGTCTTGCATGATAAATTCACTCTTCTATTCCTATTTTCCCAAGGCTTTGGATTCTTTTTTCTACTGTATATGAAGGCAGTTCTGGAACGTTAACTAATTAGTGTAGGTCACCTTTTGTTCATGTTTCAGCTAACCAACTAAGCAAACTGTTAGCGACTTTTCTAACCCCCCAAGGTGCAATATTAAATCAATAATCTTTGTTTAGTTGGCTTAAATCAATAAATATGGCTTGTTTCAACTTTATGTATTTTCTACCAATATGCCACACTCTTAATATTCATTTCCATACATACTTTCCATATTTCTGTCTGGAAAAATTTTTAAATGATATAATTTTGTTTAGAGTGCAGCACACCTCCTCACAATCACAATTTATATCTGCCTTAGTCCATTTTGGTTGCCATAAGAAAATAGTTTAGATTAGGTACCTTGTAAATGATTGAAAATTATTTCTCACAGTTCTGGAGGCTGTAAAGTCCAGGATAAGAGCATCAGCAGATTCAGTGTCTGATGAGGGCCTACTTGCAGGTTCATAGAACAGCATCTTCTAACTGTATCCTCACGTGGTAGAGGGAGAAAGGCGGATCTGGAGCCTATTAATTAGAGCACTAATCTCATTCATGATGCCTCCAACCTCAGGACCTAACCACCTCCCAAAGACCCCACCTTCTACCACCACCACATTGGTGATTAATTTTAACTTATTTAATTTGGGGGGAACACAAATATGCAGACCACAGAAATACTTCACCTTTCAGGGCCTTCTGTAACTTGAGTTTAGTTATAGACTAGAAGCAAAGCAGGGTTCTGGAACTGTGTCTGGAGGTAAATCAGCAGTATCTTATAAGGCAACTGTCTCAGAGAAGATCATTACAGTTTGTTCAAGCAAATTAGTGTTAATCTCTCCAGATGGGGCAGAGGGGAATAGCTACCCCTACTGGTAAAGAAGACCCGGCAGAATTTAGAAGCTTAATGTCCTCATCCTCATCAGAATTTTATAATACAGTATGACCACATTTCACTTTTCAAGATCTTATTCCTTCCCAATCAATGCCCTCCATTTACCAGTAGATACCTTATGAGATTGGGAATTAAATTTGTGTTATAATTCAGGCACTAATAGAATGAGTATCTGGGTCTGATTTTCAGCACTTTCTCGTTTAGGATTACAGAAGATAAGGTTTTGTTTTGAAGCAGACAATATAACCTTTCAGGTAATTTATGCAGTGCTTTAGCTGGAAATTCAACCCTTTGAGCTCATACTTTTGTGTATCCACTTTTTTCAGTACAATTAGGAACAATCAGCCAATTTCATTTTACTTGTTAGTTTGACAAAAATCTTCTAAGGTATCAAATACATAGTCACCCAAAAACCTGCCTTTTATGAGTATTTAAACAGGCATATCCAATGATGATATTTTGCATATTTCTATTGACACATCACACCATGGCTATCAGTGTCCTCTTTCCTGCTAGAAATAGTGCCTTTAAATCTAATTGAGTGAGAGAATTGATTCTAGAAACCCAAGAACCAACTCAGAAAACTCATCCTTAAGATTTAGTTTTCCTAAAACCAATCTCAGTACCAAAATTTGTATTAGTCAGAGTTCTCCAGAGACAATCAATAAGTTCTATCCAAAATCTGCAGAGCAGACCAGCAGTATGGAGACCTAGTGAAGAGTTGATGTTGCAGTCTTGAGTGCCAAGGAAGTTCAGGGGTAGAATTTCTTCCTCTTTAGGGAAACTCAGTATTTCTCATAAGACCTTCAACTGATTGGATGAGGTCAACCCATGTAATGGAGGGTAATTTAGATTAGTCAAATTTTACAGATTTAAATGTCAATCACTTCTAAAAAAAAATACCTTCACAGCAACATCCACACCTGTGTTTGACCAAAAAACTGGGCTCCATAGCCTAACCAAGTCAACACGTAAGTTAATCATTGTACTATCTAATGTTTATTTTTCTTTTCATTTTTCTTCTTACCAAGAGAACCTGTATTTTGTAAAAAACAGGCATAAGCCCAACTAAAACAATTATATCTCCCAGTTCTCTTCTATTTATGGCCAATGAGATTTCATCAGGAATTTCTGAGTACGAACTCCAGGAAAGACCTTTAAAACTGTGCAGAATCTATTGGAACAGAATTTTGTCATTTTGTTGTGCTCTTCTTCATGCCAGAAATGCAGAAGCTACTCGTGTGGAGAGTGGGAGGAAGAAGGAAGAACTATCTTTTGAAATACAAAATGATAACATTGAGAATGAATGCCTGACAGAAAGTATGGCAGAGCAGAAAAATATAAGGAATGTGGGCCTCTGAGGTCAGAGTATACCAGCTCTCAGCTGTCAATTTCTGGTCTTATTCAATGTGAGAAAATTAAACTTTGATTTGATTAGCCTCTTTAATAGGGTATCTTAATGCCCAGACTGCCTACACTAGACACTTGACTATTTCATCAACAACCTTAATAGTTTATTTTTTAATATTGATCAGATAAACTTTTTATCTTCTCTTTAAGGAAATACATAATTATCTTATAGTTGGGATTTTCTTATATCTAGAAATATAGCTTAGCTGCAAATAATGTTTTCTTTGAATGGTGGTTGTAAATATTAGTTAATAAAATACAAAAGTTTTATTTTGCAAAGACAAATTTGCATTTTATTAACTAATATTTACAAAAAAGTCAATAACAGTTTTAAATGTCTATTATAAAGGAGAAAGAAATTAATTGATAACTTGCTCAAGGTCCCCTACTATATGATTGAACCAGGATTCAAGTTCAGGTTCTCTGATATTCACTTCAGTGCTATCTCAATTTGTTACACTAATTTTCTAAGAATTAAGGCTCTTCAGAATTTTTTATTTCTTAGGTAAATGATAACCTGATAGTTAGGTCACAAGAACAAGAGAGGAGTAGAATAACAGAGAGGGAGGCTGTTAAGAGATTAAACAAGTTATTAATATAGAATTTAGATGTAATTATTTCAAAATTATACATAATTATGTAATTATTATTTCAATAACTTAGGGAATTAATATAGAGGTACAATTTTATTTACACTTAGAAAAGACTAACCCTATGCTAAAAATGTTCCTTAAATAACTCTTTTCAAACCAAAAAAATTCTTTGAAGCCATGAGGTCTTTGTCTTATAGCGGTGACAAGGAAGATCAGGAGCTCTAGAACAAATGCTGTGGATATTTGTTGCTAAAAGTGTCCAAGAAATATTACTTTGCATACCATATTAAACTTCGTGTGAAAAATTAAGTGCCATGGGAAAATTGTTTCTTAGATTATTAGAAGTACACAAAATTTGAGACTATTAGAAGCCATTTCATCATTATTCCTAGGGATTCTGGATTCCACAATATTAGAAAGATGTCCTAGGTTCTACGTCCCTGTGCTCTTTTCTCATAATACGCATGAGACTATCACTCCCATAGAAAGCTGATAGCGCTCTTAAACATAAAAATTAGATGAGAAGTTCATATTTGACATAAAGAAGTCATCCTCGAGCAAAAGGGAATATAAATAACTCCTTGGAAGAAAAATGAAAAGTCAGAACAAAATTTTCTATCCACAAGAAAAAACGGCTAAATTCAAGTTAAATTAACAGAAATATTTCTCCTTTTGAATTGGGGCGAACGTCCCACATTAGGTACCAATCACTGTTCTGCACTCTGAAGTTCCGAATAAGAAAGGGCGAGGGAAGAAAGAATTGGAATGAAGAAGTATACATACAGCAACTAGAGTAAGCATGTTGAAATAAAAGATTGTTTCATATGCTACTTGAAACTTGTCAATGGCTTCTCATTTTACCTAGAGTAAAAGCCAAAATGTTTACAATGCCTAATAGGGTCCCACAGGATTTACCCCCAATTTCCACTACGTCACTGGCATAACTTCTTATTAGTTACTCCTGCAAAACAAACCACCTCTAAACTATTTTTAAACCACACTTTATTAGTTCTCATGAATCCAGGGGTCAGCTGTGCAGCATCTGCTGTCAGCTGGTAGGTCAACCAGGGCTGTCTAGCCTAGGAAGGCCTCCGCTGAATGACTCAGCTCTTGTCCCACAGCTTAGAGAGGGCTTGTTCTATGGCAGAGTCAGAGTTCCAAAAGAAAGGGACTTTAACTAGCCACCATTTGAATCTATTTTGCTGCTATATTGTCCAAAGCAAGTCACACAGCACATCCCAGAGTCGGTATTTTGGTAGTCAGTACTATAAAAAGGTATGGAGAAAGAAAGCTTAAATTATTACAACCTTTTAAAAAAATCAATCATTCACACTTTTTACTTCTTTTTATTTATTTATTTATTTTTGCTCACCTAGCCCCAATTATACTAACTTACAACACAGCCATCCCTGTATTAGGATCTTAACTTAGTTGTTACAACTGCTGGAAATGTTCTTCCCTGGACATTGACTTTTTTACTCTGTCATTTCCTTCAAGTTTTTTTTTTTCCTAACTTTTCTTTCTTGATGAACCCTAGTCTGCCATGTTCAATAAGACACATTGCAGTGATTCCTCTACTTGTGCTTTCTTTTTCTCATAACATACCTGAATTTCTAACATAGGATTATGGGGGGTTTTGTTTCATATTTTTTTTGTTGTTTATTAGCATGGTGGTTTGTTTCTTTCTTGTCTATCTCTCTCTTCAGTAAAA